CCCCCCCCCCTCCCCCCAACAAATTGTGTGTCCATCTACCACCCCACCGACAAAAAAAGCACCAATTGGCATTAACTGTCATTTTTATTAATACGTTTGGATCAATACAATACAATAATAAATAACAATAAATTTAGCACTAGGCCTATTTAAATATGAGACTACATACAAAATAAGACACAGAAATGTCAAAAAGAAGTAATTTAGACAAATAGAAACCGTGTTCTACATAAATAATAATAAAAAAAGTGATCCGAATTATTACACTCTGACCCTATTGACAAACAAACACACTACTGTTATACTAAACGATTTTCATTGGTTTATGTCAGTGTAACTATATATTTACATTATTATGATTGACTTGTTATTTATTATATAGACTCCCCCGCTGCCCCTTCCTCTGGCTTCCAGTGGGGTGACCTGAGGTCAGCCCAGTCCTGCCCCATCTCATACTTCTGAGTGGCAGCCTGCCTAGCTCACAAATTTTTATCACGGCGCCCCTTCCGCCAAGATTAATTGGCCCACACAGTTACATGTTACATATCAGTACATATCATTGACATGACGTGCAAATAAGCGATAGAAAACCGATCGCGGGAATGTCACCATTGCAATTTTTATTTTTTTGCGTCGGTGCTTCGTGCCGCTCCCGGTAGGATGATGCCCGGGCCGGATACCAGTGTCACCTATACGTAAATCTACCAGTGTAGAAGTTTAATATATAAATCATCTCGAAACGCACTTTTCCCATTCACACTCTTCACAAAACACCGTCCAAAACTTTTTTTTGTTGTTGTTTCTTAAACCGTGTATTTATGATGCTCGCAGTGATTGAGATGTGTAATTTAAGGATGTATTTTTAAATAAGTCTGACGCTGCGCGCTCCAGCACGGCGTCAGACTTATTAAAAGCGGTACGGACGGCATCGGGGGTGCTGGCAGAAGATTGGAAGTCAGCGGGAATTTTAGACGCACTTTGGTGTATCCATAGTTAATTAAAGCAGACACACATAAATTGTTGTACGGAAGCTTTTGAATCCGACCCTTAAAAAGCAGAATTAATAAAAGCTTAATAATTATCGTAAACTCCATTACATGCCTGACGATTTGCACCCTCAATAAGATATGACGTGATTATTTATACTTGCCTGGAATGCTAATACATGCTAAAAGCTAATCCTAAAAAGATTTTTTTTTAATCTTTTAAATGAATATTCATGGCCAAAGACCTCAAGAAATAGAGAAATCCTGACACCATGTAACCCGACAGGATCCAGATATTTGTGAAACTAAACTAAGAAAATTGACATCACACATAGATATGACATTTAAAAAGTCTAAAGGTGTTTTTTTTCTTCTTCCCCGAACATGGTTGGCACCTCCGGATTAGTCATACTTTACAATGATTCTACAGTATGTTCTATTTTGGTGTAATAAGATACCGGGCTCTCAGGCTTACAGAACAGTGACCTGGCACCTTACGGGGGAAGAGGGGAGCCTCGCTGAAATCTTTTCAGTATTTTATGTTCCTGTATTATTGTGGGGGTTTCAATTTTTTTTATGCGGCTGCCAGGTACTGGAAAACACTGGTGTGACTGTGCCAGGGCAGGACAAAGTCAGGTGATGAATGTATCATTCACATCTAGACGGATAATAGAATGCAATGGGATTCTCATTGAATCTCAACCCCAAACAGACCAGAGCACCAGCCCCTTGGCACGCTGTGTGGCCCCAACTGTGGTTTTTTGGAGCGACTGGAGTTAAGGGCATAATGGTGAAATCAATCTGCTGAACACAAGATTTGAACCAGTGACCTTCCACTCATAGGAACAGAGCCTGAACCTGCAGAGTCACACAGCGCACGACTACTGCCCCATTGAAAAATGACTATCCTTTGTATTTGTTCCCCACAGTCTGTTAAAGCCCAAATCTCTCATAAAGCCCTGATTCCATCCCCATCTCTGTATTTGCATTTGTTTGCTGGAGTAAACCTCACGGTCGGATTTCCGTCCATCACCCTAACACAGGTGCTAATTTGCATCTTAAATGAGACATGTACAGGTACACCATCTAATTTTAGTTTGCCGTGTTCACACCATATGGCTTTACTTTGGATTCTGAGACATATTGTCATAAAGCATTTGACAATGCTTTGGGGACTTTGGGAGATTAAAGCAGAACGAGTCTGTAGCAAAACAAATTAGTCCATTTGGCTATGCTCCAAGATATCACAAAGAGTTCTTCTGTCAATGAAATGTCTTTGAGGTAAGAAGAACTTGGGACATTTTCAGTTGCAGTAGAAGGAGAACCCAACTGGTCAAAACTAAGGAAAAATGGTAGCTTCTGGAACCTGCTGTCGGTCCATCTGTAGTGTGGCAATATCTGGAGGAGACTGTTCTGGCAGGAGAAAGTGCATCATTTTGTGAATGGGTCGGTTCCTAGAACTTCAAAACTTCAAAAATTCCAAAAACTGGAATTCTGCTGGGACAGTAACCTGAAGTTAACTTGGAATTAGTTGCTTAATAAAGGATATTTACTACACCGTGGAGAATCCATGCATGGCAACATTAGTGCTGTCAAAGGGCAAAGAAAAAAAGTGGCTTAACTTACTTGGTTTTTAGTAATCCCGGGTTTTTAGTAATCCCGGCCAGTTCCTCTCTAGTTTGTGTTTGACGTCCCATTTGCGTTAATCCCAGCTCACACGGCAACGCCCCTTCTCCGGGTCACATGACTGCAGCGGCGGACTGACAAGAAGGTGGGATCCTAACCCATAATGCACACTGATGGCTCCTTCAGCACAGTCGTCAAAGGCAGCTAGCATGACGCGAATTAAGTAGCATCGTCGCCCGGGCAACACTGACACAAATCTTCTCTGACAGGACTGTGCCATACCGTGCCAGCTCCCGATGAAATGGAATGAAAACAAAAACAGAAATAAATGGTTTTGCGCCGTCATTAGAAAAAGGGGGAGGGACAAAAGCGTGTAGGCCTGATGGTAAAACACTGCCGTGTGTTCTGACTCTCTTCTGACGTGCTGCTCGAGCTCTGGGAGGGAAACAGTGCTATCACAGAAAACCACATTTGTATCTGTAATTAGAGTGTGTCGCTCGCAGTAAATATATCAGCACGAGGTCGTCCCTTTTGCGATCTTCTTTCCTTGTGACAGCTTTTAGTAAACTGCTGAGCAGATGTACTGCGTACAGTACTGCGTACTGATGTCAATGACTCTCCAGCTCGGCTTTACCTAGAACGTGGCTTAATTTAGCTTTTTTTTTCCAAAAGAAGGAACGTTTTATATAACTTCAAATGACCTTTAAATCAATAAAGTCTGGTGTGCAATTCAGTGATTCCCTCTGTCCGTCTGCCTCGTCTCCAGAAGCAAGCGTATCAATTATGGTTGACACCACGTCTAAATCGGCGTAAATTCAGTAATATTCCTCTCATGTTTGTTGTGATATTGTTGGACTGTGTCTTTTTAAGTCAGACTATTTGCACGGATAATGGGGTCTGCATTCTGAGGTTTGGGCCTTTTTGAATGAAATATTCCGCACAGCAGGTTTTTGGAGTACAGTCCAGGTGATGCTGCTGAATTTTTGTCTTGCTTCTCACCGAAGATCTCAAAACCCATCGATACTATTCGCCACTTACCTGTCAAATGGTCATTTGGCAAGAGGAGCAGGCATGGAACCTATGGGACACTAAGTAAGGAACGTCTGGAGTGTGGGAGACACATCGGCCAGGGAAGCTTCTCTCCATGCCTTTTCCATCACCTCTTATCTAAATGCGAGATCGCAGTGAGTCTGGAGCCAGAGGGCACTGGGGGAAAGAGGGCCCGGAGGAGCTGCCAGTTCATCACCCACACACACACACTGTCATACACAGTCACACTCGGCAGGCTTTTTAGACACACCAGTTCACCTAACAGCCTGTCTGTGGGAGGACACCAGTAGCAGGAGGAACCCCGTGCAAACATGTGGGTAACAAACTCCACATCTGTCACCAGAGCCTGCGTGCACCAGCTCTCACATTCAACCTTCTGATTTCACCTGATTAGACGATGGTAATAAATATGACCTCTCTGCACTGCGGTGGGAACGTCAGCTCAGTCATCCAGGCCCAGGAGAAGAGGTCCACAGAGCCACTTGTAAGCTACTGAGGGGCCTTTGGGCAATGCTCAAGGTCGCGGAGTGCTTTTGGGTCCCCTCCCGTCCCTGCATAGGGAGTTTCTCTAACTGTTGGCTGGAACTGTATCAGTTTGAGTCTGTCAACATCCACCCAGAGGACAGTCTTTATTCTCCATTAAGTGGACCAGAACTGCATCTACTACTTGGCCAGGAAGAAAAGCATTTTTATGGAGGCCCCCACCCCCAACACTCCCCTTCTGCTGCAGGAAACCCAGCGGTGATCCTGAGAGACCTTTGGTTACTTAAAGCGAAGAGGGAGGTGACGGCATGCGACCCAAAGGCCGTCGGGGACTGCGTCACCATCGCAGTTGAGTCATGACTGAAAGATCCGTCTCGGTGATCGGTTTCATCAAGTACACTGCCAGCGACTGTGGG